CAAACAAATACATGACAGAACATTTGGATCACACCCAACTGCACTGCATTTGAAAGCTATGCCATCAGCTGTTTATGTAAGAGGAGAATCTAGGAAGCAACATGTTATTCCCTTAAAAATGGCTACCACATTGGTGTTGGGAAACCACCATCTGAATAGATTTTATCTACCATCTGAGTAAGATTTTCAGCTTGGGAGACATTACTCTTTCTTTGAGGCTCCGCTTTCTCTCTTGAAGTGCTGGGTTTGGCTCCTTTTCTGCAGTCTGTTGGTGGAACACAGGGAGAGATCCAGCTCTGTCTTGTGGTAGCCTGGCATTTGGCTGGCTTCCAGCTTTGGGATTCTTGATTCTGGTTCAGCTGTAGAATTGGCATCAAAGAAATCCCCGCTCCATTCCTGACCAAGGAAGTCGTCCCCCCCCCCCACAATCATGCATTCTCTTTCTTATCATCCTTCCTTTCTCTGTTCTCTTCGGTGCTTTTGAACAAGACTTTTACCATGCAATTTCTTATCTTAGTCACAGAGTTGTGCAAATACATACTATCTTCCACACTACCCAGAAAACTATCTTCTGTATTTTCTCATTGCTTCTTTCATTTTTCTCTCCCATTTAAAAAGGAAAACAGGGCATAACTGATAACTAGTTTTTGGTTGCTAATGCTAAGAGCAGCCACTCTGGAGGGACAGAATATTCACAGATTCATTATTTATTGCAAGAAGTCAGAACGGCATATGTGAGCGGTTCCTCTACATTTATCACCATAACTCCTGTAACGTAAGTGGGATTGAGTCAGAGAGAGTGGCTGTCCCAAAATCACCCAGTAACTCCATGATACATGGGAGATGTGAACCCGCTTTTCTTAATTATTAGCATTAATTAAATTATTTTAAGAATTTTCAGAGCTGCAGCAATCAAGATTACGCTTTTCCCCTCAACAAAATGATTCTTAATAAATCAGCCATTATTACAACTTGGCCCACCAGGACAGGAAGGCAGGATATGTTTTGGATCCCATTGATTAGGGATATAGATCTGAGGGGACCATGAAAAAGGGCCTTCTCAGTGATGGCCCTTTCTTCTTGGATCACCATTCCCCGTAAGGTATGAGTGGTTTCTACCTTGTTGCTTTTGCAAAAGGCTGTAAAATGTAGTTTTGTTAGTGGCCCAGTTATGTTACTGGACCACAAGTGAAGATGGAACCATCAAATGGTTGAATTGATTGTTTTGTTACTGTTAAGGGGTAGTGGTGTGTGTTTTTTATGCGGTAATTTTTAAATATTGTTAAGTTGCATGGGATCAACTATGTGTGAGTTGGACAGCCATATAAAAATAAATAAATAAATAATAAACTCCCCATGCTTCCTACCCCGAATACTGATCACTATTGCCATCAGCTTAGGCCATTTAGCCAAATATCTAGAAGGCAAAACCGTTCTGGTAAGAAAATCAAGTTCAGTATAATCTGTCAATCAGAGATGGAAGTGGGGAAGGCTTTCTCCAGCCAAAAGCTCTATACACAAAACACAAACCAAGCTACCAAGCCCAATGTTGAGACATATTAAAAGATGAGGAGAAAGGAATAAGGATGGGATTTTCATTTCCAGACTGCCTATATTAATAAAGTGGGATCTCCAGCTAGAGTGGGGGAAAGTGTGAAGAAGGGGTGAGCTTAGAGTCCTTGCAGAGCAGGAAGAAACATAGATCTTACCTCCCCCACAAACTCTTATCTGGCTGTTCCTAAGAGAATGCAGTAAGTTTGGCAAGATTCTTGTAAATAGGCATGTGGCAATAAAGAAGTAATTTTGATCAGCTCATGCTGTTGTTCTGGATTCTTGTGCCTGACAAAGAGAAAAGAGCATCTAGCACTCAAGAGACTGCAGTTTGGTTTATGTCTACCTTCCCTTAATGATGATGATACCTTCCAAATATGTGGATCATCACCTCTTGTAATTTCCAGCTAGCGTGACCAGGCTGGGAAAAATGGTCTTAGGTGAGGGATAGCTGCAGGAAAGCAAGATGTAGTACATGTTCTGAATTCAACCAGTTCAAGAAAAGACTTGTACTTGCAACAGTACAGGACTTTCAAAACAAGGAGGAGTTGGAAACATCAGCTTTCTCATCTCAATCGCATCATTATGAACGCTGGCATTAAATGAATCATTTAGCCAACTGGGGAGGGAATGGAAGCCTTTAATCAGTTTTTGTGGAAGTTTGAAATCTGAACTCTACTTTTGATCTCTGAAGTTGGACCAGGAAAACGGGTGGAGGAGGGAACATCCTGAAGCCCTGAGGCAAAACATTGCTATGCTATCAAGAGGATGTGTTAGGACTTTTGGTAATCCCACACCATTTCATACCAGCCCCTCATTTTCCCTCGCTTGGTTTTCCTTTTATTAAACATTTTCTCAGATTTCATCTTCCCCATTCACCATATAGAAGTTGTTCCTCGGCACCAGATTTTTAAAAAAGATTCAAAGAAACTGGAAGAGGGATAGAAAATGGTAAGGAGAATGGTCAGAAGAAAGGAAAATTGGGGGATTTAGAGCATTCAGTCTTCGGACAATGCTGATTCCTTCAGCCAAGAAATGGAGATGAGCACCGTGTGGTAGAGTCAGACATGACTGATAGGGAAACCTTTACCTTTAAATGACAATAGAATAGGGATCTGACAGCATTTTAAAGCAGGGCTCTCCAACCTTAGCAACTTTAAGACTTGTGGACTTCAACTCCTAGAGGAGTTGGCTGAGGAACTCTTGAGAGTTGAAGTTCACAAGTCTTAAAGTTGCCACAGTTGGAGACCCCTGCTTTAAAGTATCTGAAAGGGTTGGGAGCACAGGCATCAGGGTATCAGATTGAAGAAGGTCAAGAGATTTTCATGTGGAGCATAATCCTATACAAGACAAAGGGGAAGTTGTGCAATGATCCTATTGTGATAGTAGCTATACAAATCTTCCACACAAAAAGTCTGTTTTGGAAGAACAGAGACTGAGTCCTGGCCACAAGGGAGGGCTGTTGCCTCTATGATATATGAAAACTGTTCTTTGCGGGATATAGGAATTGCCAATGTTGGGGGAAAAATACTGGGTTACATGGATTGTGGTCAAATCTGGCAGGGCTATTACTACTTTATGTGATTGTACATATTTCCCACTCATTTCAGTTGAGGTTAAGGAGAACATTCAATTGCCATCCTTCCCCAGTCCTCCCCTACTCCCTCATGCTTTTCAGATATTTGACAAGTCGGATCACCAGGCAATACATCCACTGGTTTAATATTAATATTCTCTGCCCTATAGCAAAGGATGTGAAGATCGTAAATAAAATTGTGAATCTCAAGGGCACCGTGTATTACAAACAAACACAAAGTTCTTCTAAGTTATCTATTGTTTTCAAGTGCTTCTGCGCGTTTTAAGTAATTCCAATTGGTTTTGGTAGAAAAGGAAACATAGCATCTTTGCATACATCAATGCATCCAAACACTTCAGAGTTTGACCCTTTAGCCCAGGGGTGTCAAACTTGCGTCGTCACGGTGTCATCACATGATGTATCGCGACTGTCTCCCATCTCGCTAAACTGGGTGTGGGCGTGGCCAGTGTGTGACACAGCCCTGCTCTAGCCCATATTAACACCTCCATGAAGCTTTTGGCAGAGGCCATCCACTATTCTGGAGTTAGGCGAGCGTCAATGTACTGATGACCCCTCTATTGCTTTGGATGAGGTCACACTTCCCTAAAAAGTCAGGTGTTTCTACTAAAAAAGCAGGAGAGGATATGGCCAGAAGAGCCTTTTATGAGCTTCAACTGGCTTGATCATTGTGTCCTCTCCTGGACCAGGAGAAGAAAACAAAGACATGTGCCCTTATCAGATGATCATCATTTTCTCTAGGTGGGCTACCATTGAAGGTAAGTTGGAAGCTACAGCTGAAACAGAATACAGCTATTGCCTACTTGCAGATCAGTGCTAGCCTAATTTGTGGCTGTTGTAGCTGCACTAATTGCCAGTAGGCATCTGGGCTCAATTCAAGATACTGGGTGCTGTTGTTATACACCAGGTAGAATTTGCATATCCTATACTAGTCTAGCTGGGAAAGGCTGTTGCAGATCCTCGATCCCTCAAAAGCTCAAATAGGTTGGGACCTGGAGAGTGACTTTTTCAGTGACAGTCCCCACACTGCAGAACAGCTGGCCACATGAGGGCAGATTACCGTAATACCAATCCTTTTATCCTTCAAGAAATTAACAGGGACACTCCTCTTCCATAAAGCATTCAAGATGAAGACTTTCACTTGGAGGACAACTACTATCGTATTTTTAATTGTATCTTTTTATAACAGGATGTTTTGATGTTTTAACATAACCAATCTTGAATCTGATGAGTAGGTGGCCTTGTCCGCTAAGAAATATCTCCAATTGTCTCCAATTGTCTATAGGCCACAGTTTGGGATAATTGTGGTCCTATCTTGCTTCCTTAGTCTTCAGCTATTAACACAACTGTTTAACCTGATCACAGAATGAACTCATTTTCTGAATTTACAGTGCCTCTTAAAGCAGTCACTAACCAAACGAAACTGAGTGCATATTAAGCACAGAGGTCTAATCAAGGTTATTCTTCAACATGCTCAATATGTTGTGCCAAAGCATCTGCAAAGTTTCTACACAACTTAAAATCCGGTCTGGTTAAAATTCAGATGGGAAGGTAACCACCGCATTTCCCAAGAGAGCAGCCCTCTTTCCCTCCCCTGTCTGACCTACAGCAGCCCAAGAGGGTAACTGGGGGTGTTGTCTAGAGCAGGGCTCTCCAACCTTGGCAAATTTAAGCCTGGCGGACTTCAACTCCCAGAATTCCCTAGCCAGCTGGCTGGGGGATTCTGGGAGTTGAAGTCCTCCAGGCTTAAGATTGCCAAGGTTGGAGACCCCTTCTCTAGAGGAAGCGGGTGAGGGAGAGCCCTTTGATGGGGCAGCTGCCTCGTCCCTCCCGCCCCGCTAAGCGCGGAACTCACCTTTCATTCTCCTACCGTCGGGAGTCCCGCTCCGTCCGAGCCGAGCCTGGGAAAACAAGCAGCGAGAGGCTGACGCTTCGACCTCATGGGACTAGGCCCTAAGGGCCGATAGGAGACAGCCGGGGTCGGGGGACTCTCATCCGAAACAAGGGCGTCGATCCTTGGATGGCTGGGAGACTACGCCGCCCTCGAAGCCCGCCGCTAAAAGTTGCTGTTTTTCGGGGCGGGGGACGGACGGGACGGGGGACGGCAAGGCGGAGCAGGGCGAGGTGCCCACCCTTCAGGGCCCCGCGGCGGCTTGCCGTCTTCTCACGAGCATCCCTGGCGTCTTTGCTTCCCTGAGCGCCGTTTAACACACAGGAAGCATGTTGACCGCCACGCTCCGTCTTTCTCTCGCTCTGCTCCTTGGGTCGGAGCCCAGACAAACTTCCTTCCAATGTCCCAACAGGACGAGAGGCTTCTCTACGTGCCAGCTGCCTCCTCCTCAAGCTCTCTTGCTCTCTCTCCCCCCCTCACCCCCATAGACGCTGCCCCCAAATCTAGGGTGGGCGGGACGGGGAGAAGGAGTGCGAGGCGAGGAGGCTTTGGAGCCCTGCCGAAATATGCGCTGTCCCTCCCACCCACCCACCTCTAATTGCTAACAAATGTCCTCTTACTGACACGGGTGAGCAAGGAAGGCCAAGAACGGCCCAGGGGGTATTGGGGAGAGGGGGAGAGAAAAAGGCAAAGCAGGTTGTCGATTCACACGGCATGGCTTAATCTGCTTGCTGAATTAACCTCCGTTTTCTGGTGTTTTTTCCCCCCAAAAGCAACTGGACTTTCTTTGTTTCTAAGTTGTTTCACTTCTCATCCAAGAAGCTTCCTCAGTTCACCTCAAGGGGTTTCCTGGATGGGAAGTGAAAGGTCTTCAAGGAAAAAAACAACGAAGAAAGTCCAGTTGCCTTTTGAAGAAGCATCTTTGGGACAACCATGACCTGGATGACTGAGAATCTCCATAGATTTTCTGGGCTGGGCTCCACACTGTTTTCTGGGCTGCACAATAGGCTGAACCAGAAAGCCAGCATTTCTCAACCTCAGCAACTTTTAAGAATGGCTGGGAAGTTGAAGGCCACACATCTTATTTGCCATTGAAAAACACGGCATGAAGTAATCAAAGGTTCTGGGATCCCTTTAGCTACCAATAATACATCTCACTAATCAAGCTCAGCATATTGTCCCAATGCACGTTGCATCTTTATTTGTGTCCTTAAGTGTGTTATGTGAGCAAAGCCAATCTGCTTGTGGGGTGTGGAGAGAGGAAGAAAATACAGAAGGATGTCATAGCTCAGAAGGATGTCATACCACTCTATAAAGCCTTAGTAAGACCACACCTAGAGTACTGCATCCAGTTTTAGTCACCACACTATAAAAAAGATGTTGAGACTCTAGAAAAGTGCAGAGAAGAGCAACCAGGATGATTAGGGGACTGGAGGTTAAAACATGAAGAACAGTTACAGGAACTAGGCATGACTAGTCTAGTAAACAGAAGGACCAGGGGAGACATGATACCAGTGTTCCAATATCTGAGGGGCTGCCACAGAGAGGAAGGGGTCAAACTATTTTCCAAAGCATCTGAAGGCCAGACAAGGAATAATGGATGGAAACTGAGATTCAACCTAGAAATAAGGAGGAACTTTCTGACAGTGAGAACAATCAATCAATGGAACAGAAGTTGCCTTTGTAAGTTGTGGGAGCTTCATCACTTGAGACTCTCAAGAAGAGATTGGACTGCCATTTGCCAGAAATAGTGTAGGGTTTCCTGCTTGAACAGTGGGTTGGACTAGATTACCTATAAGGTCCCTTCCAACTCTGTTAATCTCATCAGTTTGACACATCAGTGGCTGTACATCAGCACATCTGTGGCTGTAGTGGTGTGCCCTATGAGGCCATGTACCTCCTGATTACAATGGAATGGCATTTGAGAAAAAGGGAAGTTTGAGTGCCCAATAGGTGTACTTGGAGCAAAGGACTAACTGTTCTCACATTGCCTTATGCCACTGTTTCTCAACCATAGCAACTTTAAGATGGGTGGATTTCAACTCCCAACATGCTGCCTGGGGAATTCTAGGAGTCAAAATCCACCCATTTTAAATCTGCCAAGGTTGAGAAACATTGATTTGGATGGTTGAAGATTCTCTGGCCCAATGCTCGCAAGATGTGTTCAACTTTAGCCAAAGGCCATGCTGACTTGGAATGATAGGATATAAAGTCCAACACTGTTTTTAAAAATAAATTTTATTAATTTTCTACTAATGATATTTCTTAGTGCTTAATTGTGTTGTCCAAAACATTTGATGCATGTCAAATTAGGGAAAACTGGCTTCAAATTTGAAAGTGTTCTGAGATTTTTCACTTCTGTGTATTTGAAATGCTGAGAAAAAGGAGTAAAAACTCCTGTTCTGTTCAAAGCTGGTGCAGGTTCATCCCTTTATCTTCAATTTATACAGAATCATAGGAAAGATAAATAAAAACCCAATAGCCTGTCACTTTGCACATAGCTTCCTTGAACTGAAGAGAATGTTTCAGTCAATTAAGGAAAGGTAGCCTTCCTGCTCATTAGTTTTGTGACATTTTTCTTGCCTGACCTGAAACCAGTAGTGGGTTCCTATCGGTTTGGACCGGTTCGGTCGAACTGGTAGTGGTTTGGCAGCCTGGTTCACTGGAACTGGCAGCGACCCAGGCCTGCCACATCCCTGAACTGGTTCTCCGAGCGGCACCATAGGCGCCATCTTGTTTTTAGCTTCTATGCATGCGCAGAACAATTTTTATTGTGAACTGGCGGTAGTGCCTGCTGGAACCCATGCAAGAGATACAAGATTTCACTGTCAAGGGGGATCTCATATAAGAAAACTAGCTATACAGTGAGTTGCACTGCAGTTCAGTTGGAAGTAAATCAACCAGTTCTCCAATAATGTTGTGTTGTGGGAACACCAAACCCTAGAGCTTCTTTTGGAATAGCATAGAAGCCTTGGATTGAAGTGGTCTTATTGTTACTCAATAGATAAAATGGACAAATCCTTAGTCTCAAATATAGTGACATATGGTTGAATTCAAGTATGTTGAGAGAACGTACAGTGGGAAAGAGGAAGAAAAGGCACGATCACCTTCCGTTTGTCTAATTTGGTAGAATGTCAGGCGAGACATTGCTCTGTAAAAATAATAATCCACGACCAGTTCTATTAACCCTCATTTGGACTTTTGTTGGCTCCTTGATATTTCCATGCAAAATTTCCTAACATAGAAAGGATGCTGATGGATACCGCATGATGCTAAATAAATGAGCATCTTTCATTCACTCTTCTCCTCACCAGAGATAGATGGTTTGTGCTTGCTGCCCTCTGCTGACACAAAGATGAAACCATAGACGGGTTCCAATTCAGATAATATAGAAAGTTAGGCTGATATTATATTATTTTTATTATAATTGACATTAAATATCAAAATTTATTGATTGGTACAATAGTTTGATCAATTATTGGGTTTCTGGCATCTAATATACATGCTTTCATATATAATGGACCAATACATATGAAATAAACACACACACACACACTCATATATGAAAATGAAAAATTTTGGTTAGGGGTTCCTTCACGTTAGTGCGGCCTCTCCCTCCCTCCCTCCCTCTCATATGATATATGAAAATGAATAATTTTGGTTAAGGGTTTGTTCAAGTTAGTGCTGACTAGTGCTTGGACTAGTTTCCGTAGTTTTCTCAGGAATTTTTTCAGAAATGGTTTGTCATTGCCTCCTTCTTACTAGCTGGCCCAAGATTACAAAATTGGCTTCAGACCTAAGGCAGCACTAAAACTCATGGTCTCCTGGTTTCTCCTCCAATACCTTAACCATTATATCAAACTGACTCTTGATCAAATGTACCTAGAAAAATGTAAAAATTGGTACGTCACCTGATATTTGAATTCTTTTACATATATTTAAAACTCTCTCTCTTAGATTAATATATTAGATTAATATTGAAGTAAATGAAACATTAAAGTTATAATGAATATATGGGAAAGATAAACATTATAAAAATGGATTATTATTTCAGGAATACTGAGAGTAATTTCTTTTAAGAATTTCAAACAGATTAATTGGTTCAAAGCTTCAAATGCAAAAAAAGGATAAGCCTCTATATTTTCTTTATTTAAATTAACCTTACCATGTAAAGATGGTGACAGTGGGGTAAGTTTCCTGATTTTCAGTGTTGTCATTGGACATACATTTTCAATAAGTGATTAAAACAGCAACAAAAAAATGATCATTATAATGTGACTCCTTTAATATCATAGCAGAGACTCATTTCCTTTCTTAGCCAGGATTCTACTGTATATTAAGTATTAAATATATTTGGAAGATAATTAAATGTATTTGGAAGACCAGGATCAAAATAAAATTTAGATTCTTATTCATATGATAAATATTCATTTTGGATTAATCCTAGTTTGAAACTTGCCTTTTAATAAAACATTATTAAGGGCTAAATCTTTACTAAAATATCTTTTGATTTCACAGGTTGGTTCAGATGCATTAGCAGCATGTAAAGCTCCAGAGTTATATCATCCCTGAAATTCTTTCAAACATATTGGTATTTTGAAATACATTAGAGTATTGTTAGGATAAGTATTAATTATTTATAAGAACTTTGGAATAAGAGTTGGAATACACGTTAACACATTAATAGCTAAGAGTGTTACAGAATAACACATGTGTTTGTTGAGCCAAGGTGGCGCAGTGGTTAAATGCAGCACTGCAGGCTACTGCTAGATCAGCAGGTCAGCG